TTGAATGGTGCTACTTTTCCAGTTGGTCTACCTGCTCTTCACGTAGCTCTGCATGTCGTAGTTTAGGTGCTTTTTTTTTCTGGAGATAGGCACTGCTCAATCCACTCCTCCATACTATAGTAAGACCCCCCCCGGAGGTCGAAATTAATCTTAAATGTTTCCATTTTATGCTTTGTAAGTTTGTTTCGTAACGGAAGAAATTTAAATATATTTATAAAACTGACAAGTCAAATCAAGCAATCTGATTGGTCGATAGCGTTTTTGCGGACCTCTTTGATTACAGATTTGAAAACATCGTTGCTTGCTTTAAAAGTAGCACAATTAATTATGTTAAACCTTCAAAAGTATCTAGATATCCCTGCCCTAATGCCAAAGGAACTGCACACTGAATATGTTTTGCCGTTTGATGTCTATGTCTGGACCGCTGCGTCAAAAAGGAGGGCTTCTGCCCAGCTTCTGTCCCGTTACTTCTCCGCTGCTTTCTTGTTCCAGTATGAAAAGCAAACTGCAGGCAGTTTGCTTTTCAGCCCAACGGTATACTGTTTTTCTCAGACGCGGAGGGATACTGACTTGTTGTGAAAAGTAACTTACAATTCTACCCGTGGTATACGCTCAGTATATCACGGCTAAGAACCAATCAGATTGCTTGATTTGAGTTGTCCGTTTTATAATATAAGTTATACCATTTTGTTTAATTTTGTATGAATTTTTACTTTTAGGTCATTTAAGTTGAATAAACTAAGCACAAAAAGTAAGGACATTTTTGTTAGGTAGATTATTTCTTTTTTGTAACAATGCTTCTTGGCAATAAATCTTATGCCGTTGGAAAGTTTGTTTAGTTCCCTTTCAAATGGTGCCATTGTGAGGAACATGCATATGTGGGATGAGCAGCAGAGCTGAGTAGGGGTGCGCCCATGAAAAATTATTTTTACTGGTGTCTCTTGTTTGGTGATTGGATGATTGAAGTTTGATGAAACAAGACATATTGGCAATTGAAACGTGTATTCATTTAACAAGTAGCCTATAGCGTGTGGAAGAACCATACACAGCCACAACAACCTCTCCTCCTTTTGCTGTCACCAGCCTGCTCACACTCTACTGTGGGATGGCATCCCACTTTCTTCAACCAGCATTTGTCCCAAGTCAGCCGACGTGGTTGTGTTGGTCACTCAGGCTTTGCTGGCAGGTGCAGACAATCAGAAGCTAATCAGGCAACCAGGCACCTGATTGTCAGCACCTGGGGGTACCAGAAATTGTAGAGTCAATAGCAATAGCAAACAAAAGCTGTTTGGCATTGGCAGAGAAGACTTAGCAAATGATTCATGGGAGCAGCCCATACTCAGATCTGCTGCTCATCCCAAGTTATCTACCAACACATCTGTCCTTACTTTGTGTGCTATGTTATCAAGATCTGACTATTTTAAAGCTACACATGTTTTAGTTTCTGAATTATAATGCATTATTTTTAAATAATAAATGTATTACTATAAAAAAGGGAGACATTTAGAGAATTTTCACAAAAATGCTGAAATCAGATCTGAAGTGTTACCACAGGATAATAATAATTATAACAAAAAAATGATTAACCATTTAATTGATATAGAACAAACTAGTTCAATTAAGTTAAAGTTAAAAGTCCATGAGTTTGGATGCATTTAACTTCCAGTAGATGGCAACCTCTCCAAAATAAACGACACCAAAGTTCCTATATATCTATATCTATATATATATATATATCTATATAGATATAGATATATATATCTATATAGATATATATATATATATAT